ACAAAAGAAAAGGTACATCCAAGGCCAGCTCTGACATCCTCCTTCATTCCTTTCTGGATTCCCATTACTCCAATTTATTAATTTACTTATTTTACTAAAACTGCTAGAACTTAAGACACCTAAACCTGTCACATCCAAGCCTTACAAAACTTTTCCAATGCATTTACCATGAGCTTATCCCTAGCCAAGATGCAGAAGCTACTTCATGTCTACATCCTCTTCCACCTTTATACTGTTGAAGAACAGTAAAATAGTTTTTCTTGAAGCAAAACTAGCAAAGGACACAGGAGGGGTTGAGGCCAGGGAGGAAGGCATACAGTAAATTCCCATATACTACATAAACTGTAGCTATTTTATTATTACAGAAGTGCCTGTATAATTTTATTCATGATTTGTTGGTATTAAAACCTACATTTTTTTTAACCAAGTCCTTTCATTGTAAAGTATCACTTTGTGAGAGGTCAGTCTTCTCTCAGAGCAGCATCTCCAGAGAACAGAGTCCCATTAGCAAGTGTTAGGTACACACAAAGACAATTCAGCTATTGCTATATAGATCTTACCAGAACAACAGCCGTGACAAGGAAGGGGAACAAGAAACAGTTCTTCCCAAACTACACACATACACTGTAACTGCTAAAACCTGCTTTTCTTACTTAATTGTAACTTCTAGGTCAGAGATGTCAGTACTTTACCTTAAAAAGAAAAGGAGCTAGACAGCAGCCTGGATCTAGCCACACCCCTATTTTTCATTCTTTCTATGCATAATAGCTATGAAGTTTCAAACACAAGCTTTAGAAAGATCTCTGATTTTCAGAATCTTCCAACAAGAAGGCTGTTCCATTAAGGTAACAGTTCATTAATACTACTGAGGACTCTTAGCAAGCAATAGTAATTTAGAATGTCAGTTAAAGAAGCAATGAAACTAAATGTTTAAATAATAAAAAATACTGTTCTGCTGAACATTTAAAAACATTGGTGAACTGCAATCATACAGTTAGCCAGTGATTCCATTAAGAATAAAAAAGCATTCATGAATGTGTTAATTCCTATACTTAATTAATTCCTTAGATTCCAGAACTCTGTGGTACTAACCAAATTCAGAGAGAAACTCACAAGTTAGATTTTTTTTTTGCCAGAATCAAGGAGGGTACTTGGTAAAATTGTCATTTAACAAAACTTGTCTTCAGAAAAGAAAAGATTTTCCAAGGTAATACATGTCACTCCAACTTGAATATGCAACATTTAAGAAAAGTGGACACATAATAATGGACTAATTAACACAGTGTTACAGACTTGATGTCTAGACAAGATAAGACATTTCAAGAATCCCTGCTACCCGTGCTCAAGAAGGAAGAACAAAGAGATAGCCTTTTGTGTAACACTGATGCTGAATAGCTCCAATAATTAATTTAACACCAGGGACATATTTGTCATCACTTCTGAAAAAAAACACCACACTTCAGCACATTACATACTAAAAGCATAAGCTGATCCTTAACTATATAAAACCAGAAACTAAACAACTCCTAAATATTACCTTAATGCATCATGCATGCTATTAAATGCAAAGATATTTTAAAAGTGCATGAAATGGTTACATTAGCAAATTATAGACATTCATTGATCCTGACATGCAGAAGCAAAATTCACTACCATGCTGTTTTCAAGTAACCAGACCAATCTTTTAAGCATCTGTTTAATGGGGTTCTACCTCACCATGCTAAGACAAATGCTCAGACAAAATCTAACACCTTATTTCAAAATTGTAAAAGCAAAGAGGGAAATGCATGTTCAAAAATCTAAGGAAACACCTAACTTCAAAAAAAAACCCAACCAAACAATCAAAAAACATCCCAACCCAGAAAAGCTAATTATCTCAGTATTCTGTTTTTTAAAAAAATCTCTCCAAAGCTTTCTATTATAGGCAGAACACTAAAAACACATCATGAGACACACATTAATACTGCAGAACTTCCACTCTATGCAGAAACACAAAGACTGAAAACACTGCACCTGGATTGAAGGGAACAGATTCCACAGTACCTGCCACACAAAAGTGCCAGAAAAAAAAACATTCTTCCAGTCATCAAGTGTCAGAGCCAGAGGGTTCTAGGAAATGAACCCTTCCTTCCCTGAGAGCAGCAGAGCCCACTCCCAGTGAAGCAGGTCCCAAGAGCAGGGGACCACACCAAGGAGCTGGGATTCTGCAGCTCAAGAATGCAGACAGAAAGCTGTCAAGAGAAACAGTGAGCAGACATCACATCCTTGGTGGAAAGAAACCATGTTCTGGAATGCAATGGCAGCTGAACTTGAGACACTGGAAGAGAGGCTGCCCAGGGAAACAGCAGAGCCTCCTTCATTGCAAATATACAGGGCTCAGTTTGACAGAGCCCTGAATGACCTGATCTCTGTTTCGAGGACATTGGCTGGGATAAGTCCTACACAACCTAGGTGTTTCCACAATAATGTCACTATGCCTGTTGTTTCAAAGACAAGACTAAAAATGTCCAGGATCTGCAGTCCCAGTTCAGAAATGTTTTCAAGCATCTGTGCATCTGCAACCATATCCTTCCTTTCTAGAGTAATATTGGCACAATTCAAATGAAATATATACTTCAAAGTTTTCCTAGTTTGGGAGTGACACAGATATTCTTGGCTCTGTTTAAACAGTGTCTGGATTTTTCCAAGCCTTTATCCATGAGCACAGCTTCTAGTTTCCTCTCTTTGTGTCACCTTCAGTTAATATTTGCAAAGCAACTGCAGACTCCTACAAGATAGTCACTATATAGCACAGCAACTAGCTCTTGGTTTGACACATTTTCCCCTGTCATCATCAGCACACAAAGAACTTGCTTTTTCTTCAAATGACATGATTTTACACAAATGTTCACAGTAAGTCCCCCATCAAATAAATAACATACAGCCATTTTCTTGATGAGCCACGGTGATCATTTACAATCACGCTTCGTTTAAAATTCTGAAACTGGCAATTGTGTCATTATAGCTTGGAGAAAAGGCAAAGGCAACTTTACAAAAGAGTGATATGAGCGATACACAAGAAACTGAGATGGACTAATTTAAAACAGAACACCTGTATGAATATTTCATTCAATTGCTCAAGGGATATTTTTGCTTGTTTTTCCTAAGAGAAAAAACAGACCATATCACAAGCTGCCACCTCCCTCCTGCCCAGGGCATCAGACTGCCTCTGTTTCTCTGTTGCACAGCAGTGGATTTGCTCACTGCAACACCATGCATGTTCTGTCAGCACAGTTTTTTTGCCTCTGGGTTTTCCTGAAACAGTACCATCCTATGAAGTAAAAGTACATATTTGGGAAATTTTGCTCCTTTTCCAGGTTAGAGCTTTGGAGACAAATGGATATGGAGAGGGCAAAGCAAAGGTGGCTTTATGAGGAATCTGGAACAGCTAAGACATACCTGGCAGTTGGGTTGAGAATAATTATGAACCAAAAAGCAAACATCATTAGATCTGGTGCTCCAAGAAACATTTAGGAGACAGAAGTAGAGGAGGTTCAAGGGGTCAAACCTCACTTCCTCAAACATTAGCTGGGCCCTCACCAATCCTTTAACATGTAGCTAGTGGCACATGCCTTGTCTGACTTCATTTCTTACTTATTTAAAATACCTTAATAGCTGTCCAGTGAATACCAAAAAACAGCCTCTTGAAAACTTTTCTAAACAGAACAGTGTACAAATTTCTGCAGACTGATTCCATATATAGTAGGAAAATTCACATTATTTTACTGTTATGGCTCATTATGATATTCTTGCTGGTAATGAAAATCACCAGGTCTATCACAAAATTTTGTTTTAAAATCCAGAAAATTTAACTGCAGATCTAGAAGTTAATTTTAAATATTTTTGTGAAAAATATGTAATCATTTTCCAGTCATAATTTTTAATGATTAAATAATTATCTTGTCTAACACTTAAGAAATTCACAGTACCTGTTTTAAAAGAAAACAAGCACCTTGTTCACTTCAGTAATACTTCCAACATCATTCTAGAATCTTATTTAAATTCTGCAGAAGCTAACAGCTTCAATATTCAAATGAACAACAGGAGAAACTGGTTGTGCAAAATCCAAACCTAAGTTATTCCTCAGGCTTTTCTGAACTAAGTTCCTAAATGTATTCCATTTTACAGAACATAATCTAGATTTCCCTAGAATTAAGTGCAAACTCTACCAAACACAGTAGCATTAGACCACATGGAAAGCAATACTTGGGTTTTATATCCAAATTTTCATCTGTTTTCACTATAACTGTGCCCTTAGGGCCTAGGGAAATTTAACCATAGATTCACCAGCATACGGCTAACTAATCATAACAGCTATTTTTAAAAACTCTGTTCCTAGCCTGAGTATATTTTTTCAGTTTGTCATTTTTAAGAAGTCACAGATTTATGCATTTGGTCCTAGCTCTTTTAAGTCATTTGTGACCCTGTGATCAGACACAAGGGGATAAACCAACTGCATCTTGATTCTCATAGTCACAGCACACTCTGGTAAACTCTATCCCAGCCGGACCCTGCACACAAGGAAAGATGTGCCCACCATGAACATGATTATGTAAAGTCAATTTTAATAGAATTTAAAAAAAAAACCAAAAAAACAAACCACCAAAACCAATTGAGTAGAAAGCTGGTTTTCAAGTGTCAGTAAAAAGGAACAGTGCTGCAGTTCAGGAAATGGCCTCACAGGCAACTGAACAAAGGCCACTAGAATTAAGAGGCAGCCATTGTCTTAGCTTGCAAAACAGCAGTTGCTGCATCTAAGTTGCAGAAAACTACCATTAATTTCCATGTGCAGGTAAATGCCATGGTTCCTCAGAATTAAACAGGTGGAAATGTTACCACATCATCTTGAAAAATCAAATTACATGCATATTACACTCCAAGGAGGAGGAAAAAATAAATCAAGGTAATTTTAGCAGAGCAAAACATTACTGAATTAGTGACAAAATGCCAAGAAGACTCACCTGTTCAATCTCCTTTGTCTTAGCTGCAATTGCTTTTGAGCGACTAAGAAGCTGGCTGTCCTCATGTAATTCTGTACTATCTGTTAGGTTTGCTTCTGTTTCCTCTGCTTGCTCAATGTATAATGGAGCTGAAGAACCAGCCTTAAAAAAAAATAAACAATAAATTCAGTTTTCAGAGAAAAATAAAAACCGCAGTGTGAGGAAAAGCCCAAAAAGCCCCAGCACAGTCACCAGAGATACAAGTTTGCTCATCAAGACTATTAGTGACAACTAGACTATTGCAGCAATTTTGCTACAACTGCTGCAATTCTAACAGATACAGAAATACGGGTTTTAAACATGTAGAAAAAACATGACACAATAAAACCCCCTGTGACACAGCCTTAACTCTGTGAAGGCAATGCTGTCAGATAACCTCTACTTGCACATCCACTGAGGAAAAATTTGTGTATGTGGTATTTGTAACACCAGAAAGCAAGAAAAATCCACAATGAAAATGTGATTAGCCTTCTGGGAAAAGATAAAAGTAACAAAATCAAAGGTACATAGGCATCAACAAAATAAAAATGCAGTCAGAGAGAACTCCAAAAGCATTCAGGGCCACGGGTCTATTATTAAAGGAACTGCAAGGACTATTGCATAGCAAAAGCAAACCTGTGAGTTGAAGATTTCTAGTAATATGAAAAAATCAAACTGAAGTACAGGAATTGTATAAACTTCCCTCTAAAATAGAAATTAAGACTGCACTCCTACTCCAAAGAAAGCAGATGCCATTTTGTTTCACGGCATTACTTAAATTTGGTACTATGGAACAAACTTCTATTTTTTTAAAAAAAAATAGGATTTAAAAATTGAAGAAGATGAAAACTAGTTTCTATTATTCAAAAATAAAGGTGAATAATCTCAAGACTTAACTAACATGAGAGAGAAAAGCATTAGACAGAAAAAGTAAGCAAAAAGCTGAAGTGGTCCTATGAACATATGCTCAAACCTTAGCAGCAACACAAACCAAATCTTGCTATCCCAGTAAAGAACGAAATTGCCTGAGAGTGAGTGAAGGCTACTAAAAATGCTCAGTGAAACACAAAGTTCAACTACTAAGCACTTTGTAAGATAAACAGGAAAAAGTTAAGAATTCTTGCCCACTAATGTGACAGGTGAGAAGTCCTTGCTTCTAAGACTCAAAATGAGACGCCTCACCTACTTCATTAGCATTTCTACAGCCCACTTTTCTTAGTCAATAAATCATCTTAGACTGTACCACAATCAACTACAATTGCTTCACTTCAATTCCACACTGCAACTTTCTCTGAGGCATGGAGGATGCTTTAAAGACCGTTTCTCCATGTGGCCCACTCTATTCTTTCCTCCCCTGCATTACTTTCCCCTCATCAAGAACCACAGAGATAGTTCTCTGCTGAACCTCTCAGAAATGTCCGCGCATTTGTTCTCCTTCATATGGTATTCATCCTTGGATCAGCTGCTGCTTTTTCTTCCTCTAACACTTCCTCCCCCTTTTTCTTTTTTTAATTGCTTTTTTTTAATTGCTTTAAAAGATTTTAGTTGCTTTATGTATCTAACTAGATCTTCCTGACCACTATTGAGGAGCTGATCATTCACAATTACACCAATGGACAGGACTTGAAAGTTCAGATAAATATGGATTCAGGGAGTTCATTTCTCTAACCTAGCCCTTACACTCTACAAGTGGAAATGTGATGCTTCCCAAGACACATTCATTTTACCTAAAATTATTTACAAACAAATTTAAGGAAAAAAAAAAAAAATCAAGCCCACTATTTGGAAAGGTTACAACATGACTTTGTGAAGTAGATACTATTTTGCTTTTTTAAGAATGCCTCTAAAGTTGAAACAAAGTGAAAGAGAAAATTATCACAGAATTAAAAGAGATTAGTTTAGATTACATAGTATTCAGGTTATTTTAAATGACAAATACATTTTCCACTAACATAACAGAACCCAAAAAAGACATCCTATCCAAGAGCACTATAACAAATGACTGAGAAGGGCTATAATCACACTTCAATATAGCCAGGAGTAGAAGACAAGAAGAGGTGAAAACAAAAGGGAATAAACTAGCAAATAATTAATGTTGATTAATAATGGAAAAAGGATTCTGGGGAAAACAAAGAATATACCCACTGCAGTAACAAGGTACGCTTTATCTTTAATATAATGGAGGCTTGCTTTCTGAAAAAGAATACATGACATGGTAGGCTGGCACAGCTTGAAACAGAACTCAACAAACCAGAGTTTCTCTCCCCAAGTCTTGTGTTTTACATGTACACTCATGTTTTGACGCAGAAGTCCCCTCCTAATTTTAAGGAGTTCAGCAGGTATACAGACCTACACTACCACAAGAGCTCCTAGAAGAATGCTTGGGAGAGCTGAAACTTCGTTGTGTCAGTTATAGCTCAACATCAAATCAAATAATACTAACAAAATGTACTGTGGCTTTGTGCATTTTTTCAAAATAAATAAATCACCAGGTTCTAGTCTCCCTCTCATTCCCCTTCAAAAATATTTAATAGCATAAGCAGAAAAATTCAAGATTAAGTTACAAAATCTGCCTTTATGAACAATACAGAAAAACAAGAGCCTATTGTAACGCTTTGAATTAAGAGGATTAATAATCCTATCTTACATCATACTCTGTTATCTCAGGTATATTGCTTTCCTCGGCCTTCTCTGACTTTTCAGCTGCCCACTTGCTTGCAGCTTCTGCAAGTTCCTTTTCTGATAGTCTGTTGCTCTTCTCCAAGGCCTGTACAAAAACATTATAGTCAAGGTTTAACATGAAATACACTTATACATGGAAAAATCTTCAAAATTAAAATAAACAGTTATTCTGATCCCTAAAATATTTTAAAATAGGAAAAAAGAAAGTTGAGATTATTTCATTTGCTGTCCAATTTCTTTAAAAAAAAAGGTGGGGGGGGAGCAAGTAGATAGTAAAGAAACAAGAGAGGAGAAAAAAAAAAGAAATCTATGAAGGTCAGTGTACTACTACAAAACCATTACACTTTCTGAATAAGGTTTATTAAATTCACAGCTCAGAGATAACAGAAAAAATATTTTTGAGACCTGTTAAGCATTGAAAGAAGTCAGATACACGAGTGGAGTGAACTAATAATTCAATGTGATTTTCAGGCATAAAAGGTTGTAAAAAAATTAAAACAAACTGTTAAAGACTAAGTAGGGTATAAAACCTGAGCTAATTAACAACAAAAAAATATTTTATACAAACTTTAAGTGATCAGAGCTGCTTCCATTAAAACCCATTATTTTTTATTTGGGGGAATGATAATCATTTATAATAGCGTCAGTCATGGCATTATACTCTCTTAAATCTACCTATTCAAATGGAAATCCTCACATAAACAATGTTTAAAAATTGATTTCTCTCTAATAATACTATTTGGCTTTTACTATCAGAGCAGCAAACAGACAATGACAAATATCAGTTTAGCTAGCTTTATAAATCTTGCTGCCACTTTGTGGATATTTAACTTAAATCAACTGTATGTACAGAAGCACCCAAAGAATCTATATCTAGCATTAAAAATTTCAACACTATAATGTGTATCTGAAAAACAGACATAAAAATTCTACTGCCTGAAAAAGGCCACAACAACTTCTGCCCAATGCCTGTTCCATCTTAGCAAACAGGTAGAAAAAAAGCGCAAACAAACAAAAACCCAAATGAAAGAAACCAACACTCCACCTCTTACCATTAGCTCATTCTAAGTTGCATAAATGGCCAGTATCAAAACTCCTTTGTCTTCACATCTTTTGTACTTACCTCAAGCAAAGTGGTAATATAAAAATGCACAATTCACAGAGCCCCTCCAGGATTCTGTGTCATAAAGACACCACCTTAATCTGAATCCAGAAGAGAAGAGCAACACAATGTTCCAATAGGAATCCCTGTTTTCTAAAACTGCAAATTACAGAATTGCAACCAGTGAAGTCAGGAGGCAATGAAGTTCAATATGCAGAGATATGAAAAGGGCTCTTAAAAGAACGGAGTAATATATTTCATAGAAAATCTCAAATGACCTGCTATATTTCCACAAGCCATAAAAGAAATTAACTATTAATATCTACTGGAATACAGAAAAAAAAATCTGTTTAATTTAATCTCACTGAATTTAATTCTTTAGGTTGAATGCTGATAAATACATATTAAATCCTGCATGAATTTTATGGAATAAAGTAATGGTATTTGCACAGGTACACCTCAGCTGAAGAGACAGAACAGGAGCATATTTCTCAGCTGAAAATACCAGCAGATATTTAGGCTGCAAACTTGCAAGAAACAACCAACCTAATAGATCTCAAAAAAAAGAAAAAACAAAACAAAACTAAACTGTTGCACCCCACTTCTTTTTTTTTTTTTTTTTTTTTTTTTGTATTTTTTAATCTCATCAGTAACATGGAAAAGCAAAAGCCTGACTTTGCTCAGCAGCTGTTCCTGTCTCACACATCCTTTTGCCTTATGTTGGATACAGCCTCCAAGGCTCACAGTCTATAAGAGTAATAAAGAAAAACAAAAGATTTCATGCCATAGTCAAACAGGTGGCTAAGATCAGGCAACATCAACATGTATTAATTCACATGCATGAATATGCAAAAAATAATTATAGAAAAAATACCTTTTCAGATTTCCAAATAGATACTACAGTGAAAAGAGGTATTGCTATGGAAACATATACCTTTGTAAAAATTTCAGAGCTAAATTATAACTTAGAGCATTGAAAATCATATCCTTTAATTGCTAATATACAGCATATAACTGATTTCTCAAGTCTTGATAAATTGTAAGACTCTGGTTCTGGAGATGTTCATGTTTTGCCAAGACTACTTCTGAGTCAGTGAAGCACTTAGGTAACTTAACTGCTCAGTGCAACTCCAGCCAAAAGGCTCACTCCAAAAGGCTCCACTGACACAGGGCAGTTACATTATAAGCAGATTTGGGGACTCAAGAGAAAAATCAATAAACAGTCAAGGAAGTACTTCCATTTCTGCATCTGATGCACACCCAATAAATATTTATGCTGTCTGGGGAGATGACTTCCACCAAAGAAAGTTTCATTTTGCGCGGCCTGTATCAAGTGGATATCCACTCCCAGCAGATGCTTGCAAACTGATGGCAAAAAACCAATACAACTGACTGAGAAGAAAGCAGAACACTTACAGAATACAGAGTTCAAGCTCACACTACATATTAACACAAAAGCAAGAGATTTTGCAATGCCTCTTTGTTCTCAAAGGTGTGTATTAAATAAGGATTTGATATTAAGCTGCAGCGTGCTGAGTGTATAAGCACAATAGGTGAACTAATTATAAAGTGTATTTTATGAACCAAATCAGCATAACTTGTGCATAATAGCTTTTATCTCATTTACCCTTATTTTACATCACTGAAAAATACATTGCTTGCCTCCCCCCTTAAGGACAATGGCAATCAGCTGGCAGAGCAGTTCTAAAAGAGATGTGTAAGAGGTAAGTACTGAGAATGACATAGCACAACCAAAGCCTGGGCTTTTTCCCCATTGAATAACATGGCAGGTGTGTCTGTGTCAAAATAAGTGCTAATACTGACATATTCACAACACAGAGTTCTAAGACCAAGTCCTACTTCTATTGTAAGGAATAGGAAGTAATATTGTAAGGAATATGTACTTTAACAGGTGAATGCACAATCTCCTTCCAGCTAAGGAAAAAATCCAAGAATGACCAATCTAAAACTATGGTGTGAAGAAGTCAAAAAGAAAATTCACCTTTGATGAAGGTACTGCTGTGGACCCTGAAGGTGATGCATCTCGTGATGTTTTCAGCGACTGACCTGTCCTCTCTTTACCTACAATTAAGAAAAAAATTAATGACTGAGAAATTAAAGATATATATATTGCAAATATGCTTACTGGCTTAGAAAAATTGCAGTATAATTTTATGATGTCAGACATGAACCTTATCACCCTCAACAACTACCTGACAGGAGGCTGTAGCAAGATGGGCGTTGGACTCTTCTCCCAGGCAACTACTGACAAGAGGAAATGGCCTCAAGCTGTGCCAGGAAAGGCTCAGGCTGGACATCAGGAAGAATCTTTTCACTGAAAGAGTGGTTAAGCTTTGGAACAGCTGCTCAGGGAGGTGGTGGAGCCACTATCCCTGGAGGTGTTCAAGAAATGACAGGACATGACATTTAGTGCCATGTCAACGGGGTAGTGTTTGGCCAAAGGTTGGACTTGATCTTGGAGGTCTTTTCCAACCTTAATGTTTCTACAATTCTATAAAATCTACATATTCCACCATCTGACAAATATTGGTAACACTTTTTTTCTCCTCCTAAGTAGAGAAAAGATACAGCTGTGTCATTTAATGCCTTTAAGAAAACCCAGTCCTTTTTTCCATCATTAACTGTAAGGTTGTTATCAGTAGGATTCCATAAGATGATGTGATTTCACTTTTTAATATTCTTGCAATAACATAAACATGAAATATTAGACACCAGTCACTCACTCATGGTAATCAGGTAGTGTATGAACTAGTTTAGCAGGCCACAGTATGTTGAAAAGACCTGCCATGGGAAACAGTCCTGTATTGTATCAGCCACAGAGTAGATGCTTCTTGTAAGATCACTGTCTTTCTTATGAGAGTTAAAATTGGCAAAATGTCAAATCAAATTCACTGTGCTAATCACAATCTGTGTACAGTCTTGCCACAGACCAGTTACAGGCAGCCCACAGCAACAGAACTGGTTGCTGTGTAAAGTACTAGTTTTCAAGTTGTGGTCCATAGATTAAATCTAAAAGATCTGAAAAAGGTAAGTACAAAAAGCAAACATGTTTTAAGTCGGTCTAAATTAACCAGACTATTTACACTCACTGGGGAAACAGTTGACTGATCACAAACAAGCCAAGGTAATGTAAACTTACCTTGGCTTCCATTAAATTTTTATAAATACAATTAATAACGGGATAAATTTAAAAATCTATCAAAGACTTATGAAAATTTGGAGAGAAATTATTTTTGTATAAATATAAATGTGATTGTTCAGTATGGCTTTAAATATGGCTTTAATTTAATGAGTCAAAGCAAGAAAGCACACAACATTTTTGTCACTACTAAGTAACACAAGTTTTTCTCCCATGATATGTGCTTTTCAGCCCCATAGACAAGCCACCTCCTTTTAAATTCATGGACTACTCTGCTTCCCACATGCCTCCTTTGTCAGACTGGATTCTTTAAAAATTATCTCAGTTAAATTGGTTATATGTTTGCACCTGAACAAAAGAAATTAATTCACACAAATGGCAGAAAATTACTTAAAGTTAAGCGAAGTTGAAAAAATGCCATTTAATTAGAAGACATAATTAGGCCATTTTTTTCAGAATGTGTGTGGCTCCTTTGAGCATCAAAGCCCTACCTGTAAAATTAAACATGACACTCTTCAAGCACCAGTATTCGCCTTCTTGCATTTCCTCAGCACACCACTCTGCTGACCCCTTAGTGCCTGGGCTCCTGAAGGAATACCATCCTGCTTCTCTCCGAGCTCTCCCATCACAGATGAATGCTTGTCCTTTCCCTTAGCCCTTTCCCTCTCTTTACCAAGCTACTTCATGTCCCTGCAGTTTTCTTTGGTTAAATTCTGTATTTATCCTGATGTATGAAGTATGGTGGAGCACAGGATATTCCTTCTTCAGTGCAAGTCATGTGGCCGAACCAATTCAGATAGCATGATTTTAAACAGCATTATAGTATTTTACAAAGATGCCATATTGCAAATTCCACATGAAATAGGATATGCTTTGCATGTTGTAAATCCATTTAAATGTACTACTGACATATGAGACGTTCCACTAGATGTTCCTTTTAAATATGCGGTACATGAGCTTACCTAAGGCAAACCACAATAAAAAATTATTTTATAAGTATTCTTTAAACCATTTTTACCTTGCAAATAGGTATTTTAATTCAGTCATCTAGAGGGACATTTTAGTAGTCCTCCTTTCCAGGGAAAGGATAAAGAAATAGTCCAGTGTATAACTTAGCTGGTCTCTTAAAACTTACCTAGAGATGATTGAGAAAGGTTTTCAACCATGCAAATGGGAGAAAATATCAAAAACCATAGACCTAGATGTAAGCTCCTCTCTTGATCAGCACCTTTTCTGGTTTGTGAACATATCTACTTCTAAATCACTACCTCCACTATTGTCTGAGTAATTCTAACAATGTAGTATATACATATATGATCAAAGTCAGCTCAAAATTAAAAAAAAAGAAACATTCCAAAATTTTGTATGGTTTCTCACAACATTGCTTTCCTGTCCCTAGTAATTACAAGCTGCACACCTACAAGACTTCTAGAAAATTAAGTAACTATCTTATTTTTTTCTTCCTCTCCTACACTTAGAGGAATTTATGTTCACTAAGTATTGCTACAAAATGTTAAAAGCACGGTAATGCTCAAATAGAAAGAACCATCTCTACTCTGCAAGGAGTGAAATTATTCCTCAATATTTAAACAATGTTAACTAAATCACAAAAATCTCTTTTGACAGGAAGTGCTGCATAATGGTTCAGTGTCACTCTGGAAACACAATGTGCCTTCTCAGTAAGCAAAAAAAAATCTAATTCGTTTTTAAAAAGCTGCCAAAATGAACAGTAGTTTGCATAGTTCACTAGAAAGCATTTGCAGAAAGAGAAATCAAATTGGATTAATTTACATAAGCTGTACAAACAGAGTGGCTAAGATTGTAGTATACTAAAAAAAGCAATTCCTTTTTTTCCCCAAAAAATAATTTAAATATGAAAGCTCAAATATTTTCAAAACATGATTCATCAGACTTCTGGGAAACATTAAGAGTCAAGCTTCTAAAAGTCAGAATAGACTAAACTGAGATATGCTTCACATTTCTTTAAGGAGAGCAAGATCTGAGAAGTTTTGACATTGAAATGTAATTGCTAAAAAACAATCAGTTTCAAAAGCCTAGTAAAAACTGGAGAAAATGCAACCAGTAGAAGTATGTTCTTTTACTTCTCCATTTTTTTTAATCCATGTTTTATCCTGGTTGCAGGAAGAAATGTCTTTATCTGCTGTAGATGGAGCAAAGTTTCCTCTCAGGAAATGAAGCACATAAAGAAGTAAAAGGAGCTGATGCTAAAAAGAACATAAAATACTAGAAAAAGCTGTGCAGCTGAAACTCCTACAGTCAGTCTAGACCTGACACCAAAATAACACCTACAATCTCCCACATGAAATACATAAGGGAACAGAGAGTACAATGAAACAACCAGAGCAGACAGCTCATAGACAGCACAAAATGTCAGCTTTTCCCATTTTAAAACAAGCATATAAGGAAGAGAGGCTTATACAGTGACTTGCAGTTTCACCTCACTAACCAGTTCACATCATTAATCCAGCATTACCTTGCTGAGAAGAAATATTTCTTTTATGTAAAGATGACATACTTCTGCTATGCTGGTGGAAAGGATAGGCTTTGCTTCTTTCAGGAGAGTAGCTCCTGCTGCTGACACTAGAGCCAGATCTGCTGTGCGGAGAATCCCTCCGGCTCCCTGGCGATTCCCTGAAGAAAGGAGAGTCCCTCTTGTGAGGGGATCGATCTCTCACATAATGAGAAGAATAGAAGCTTTTTCTTCTGAAGCCATCTCTGACATCCCTTGGAAGACAACAAAAAACACAAGAAACTTGGTTATCCTTCCAATGTTTATGGTACAGCACATATATAATGTTCACGCCTGGTAAATACAAACAGGTTAACTGTCATCTGCAGAACACATCCAAAATCTTCAGTGTTTTTAAGAGTACTAGGCAAAGAATGAAAAACAAGTAAATAAAGTGAAAAAAGGGTAATTTTTTAAGATTTCATTATGATACCTCATTGCTAGAAGCTAATTCCTTTCTATTTCTTGATAATACAGCTAAAATGTAAGAAAATGACAATGACAAAATGAGAACTCTCACATTTTTTTTTCATATTTACTACACTTACTACACTTATCCTGAAAATTAAGCCTGAATTTACAATAGCTAAAAATGCATATCCAAATATTGCTTACACTATTTGGCATTTTTCACCTAAGTTTTTCTCTTATTTTCAAGGGAGTATAGTCCTCATTTGCTTTCAAACACCTTGTTACACAAATATCACTGAGATATTTCAGCTTATATCCAGCAAAGACAAAAAGAAATCTGCAGAATATCTATTCTCTCACCATGAATCCACCCAAGGTCAACTCTTGAATGAAAATATGAAGACTTACATCTTGTAAATGTGTTTCTCACAACACACAATATTAATTTTGAACTTTAATGTAAAATGTCACAAAATCAATTGAATTAAAACTGTAATTTAACAAACCATAAAACTTTCTACTGAGTTTAAATATTGTTACTCCAGACCACAGCACAAATGTGTTGGTTATTTGTAAATCATATTCATGTACACATAAGTGCAAAGGTGAAAAAAAAAACCCTTAGTATAATTTCAAACTTGTCCTAACTCAGAGCTAAAAGATATACGAAGCAACTGAATCTAGACTTGTCACTTTTGCCTTGGTCAGAAGATGCATTGGTAAGAATAGTGAGTATTTCTCAGCTTCTCCATCACAATCTCCAAGATTTCACAGCATTTCTAGTAAATCAGAATGTATGTTCTCTCCTATTTCTCATCAGAGTCCAGTATTTTAAATAGGGGAATGTCTCACAAAAATCTGGTGGTCACATTGAGCACAACGTAGCTATAGCTAGTTTTATGCTGGTGGAGAAGAAGAAAAGATGTACAACTCCTACAGCATGGCACAGGCCCATATTTGTGACTGATAAAAAAGGATTTCCGCGTGCCAAAGGTGTCTTGGGTGATGGAAGCTTCACAGGTAGCACCACAAAACAAAAACCCTGTGACACTGACGTGTTTTTACACAGAGCAGGTTTACTTGTTGCATGGAAAGCACATCTCCATTATATGTATGAACATTTTATGTAGCTACAGATATGAAGTGTAAATTCAGGCTTGAAGAATACTAGATTAACTCAGCACTGAACTCTTTTTCTAGCTAAGTGGGGGGTTATTTATTAAAGAACATATTGATTAAATATTTATCAGGAATGACTTAGGTACAGCCCACTTTTTCTTCCATTTCCTTCTTAATCTCTCTCTTTAAATGTTATTTATTTTTAAAGCAGAAGCTTTGTGGCAGACTAGTAAACCACCTTTATGTGTAAAATACACTTTTATGACCATGTTATTAAACCCTCATATACAGAGCAGTTTATTATGGTAGTGTTTACAGAGCCCCAGCTATTGCACATGTATAATAAATGCTCTAATATCCATGTAAGAATTTTAAAAAAATATAATTGAAATGCACTTTCAAAGAGGAAAACATTTGAAAGCACCATCCTGCAATAATATTGTGCACCCTAAAATAGAATCTCACTTTCAATTTTTGAATTTTTATTTCATCACTGTGTTAATTCTTAATTGAACCATATCTCATACAGAACATTCAAGCCATTAACTATATTAAATCTGTTTGGGAGAGAGCAGAGCAACAGCACAGCACTTCTGATGTTTTCCATTAATGTAATGCACTGAACAGAACAAAGATAGTATTGTTTTGCAGTTATTTTTTCCTTAAACACTTAAACTAATATACACCTGCAATTTGGTAATGAAGGCCCCAGTTCAGCAAAGTAGTTAAGCACATGCTTCAGATTCTGACACATACTCAAAAGGTTTACTGAGCAGGGACAATATTTAGTAGAGATGCAAAATAGACTTTAAAATATAGCTACTGCCCTTAACAACAAATACAGAATTAATCTCTTTTAAATAGTATCCCTTAAATCTTTGTATTTTGTGTTCATAATTCATACTTAATTCTGAAAGCACAATTTTGTTCTCTCAGCAGTGTTGCAACAGGAAGCAGTATCAGTGTTAACCTTGATGAAACTTGACCATTAAATTCTCACTAAAGCTAACAGTCTTGGAGGAGCTTCTGAACTGTTACAAAAACAGCCACAGTGTGATACACCATTCACCAAGGGCAGCTGGGGAAGAGCTCCACCCTGACAATTATTTCAGTTCTCCCTAAGTACTGGTTTCCTCAAGGGTAAAACACAACTACACAACAGAAGAAGGTATGACTTTCTGCATAGCAGAAAACCAAGGGAATACAACACTGGAGAGATTTTCAGCTGCCTACAGAACAGAAACAACACAGCAGTATAGCTTAAGCTCTGTGAAACAAAGATGAACACAAACCAATGTGTCAGATTTATCTCTTCAGAGTACTCAGAGGTAAAATTAAATCACTTCCTGGATGTGAAATGCCCTGGAAGAGAGAGGTACTTGGGTATATGAAGCACATCACATGCAATAAAGGAAAAGGCTTTACTGAAAGAGGACTTTTAAATCACTCTCATTGAATTTGTGCTACTGGGCAAAAGCCAACAATACTTTGTGCTCACTGTTCTCTGAGACTTCTATATCCCATTACATTCAACTTTTCAACTAGAAAATTAATCTGCATTATGGCCCAGCCATAGCGAACATAACTCTCACTTTTGACACTGAACTGAAGACTGGCAACAAAACAGCATATTATTGTGGAACAGAAACAGGAGGGTCTTCCAGGAATTCACAGGTGAGTGCTGTGTATAACCTACATAAAAAAGTCAACAGAGAGGTTTTTGTGATCCCTTCCACCCAAGAAAGATTACTGCTATTGCCAAAGGGATTAAACACTCCATTTACAGCCTTGTGCTTAATTACTAACCTTGCCTAGAAATAACTCTCACACTTTTATAAATAAATTGAAGAAGAAGCTATAAATAGCTTTTGCAACACCAGACTTCAGTGCTAAGAGATGAAACAGTCAAGATCTGAACTGAATCCTTAACTGAATATACTTTTTCTGTCTCATAATGCAGATGCAAGGGGGATGGGGAGAAAAAGTTAAACTAAAATTCATTTTTTGCCTGCCTTTTCAGGACATTGCAAGAGCTAACAATATGAATCACATGATGTAGAAAATATTTAATAAAATATACAATGCCCCCAGCCTCTAGAATAGGCAAGAACACCTCCAATTTTAACATCTTCAAAGTAAATGTAGGTGGTGCAAGATTCCAGCCACCCCTCTCCCAGAACTCATTCAATTTCTTTCCAAAGTACACAGTACTGGGTTGTGCAACAAATCAACAACTTACTCTTCTGCTCTGGAGATTTGCTATTAATCTCCTATTATTGTCCAAAGGTCCTTATGCAAATTTATCCTAAATTCAAGTAACACAGTGAATTACATCATCATACACAGAAGACATTGCACCTGGTTCCAATGGCTTTCATCTGAATATTTGAAATGATGACAAGATTTCTTATTGACAACTGGTTTTCAACATTTTATGACTAAGCAAGTAACTGGAGCACTTGCGATATCTGCATTTTGCTCTAAATGAATTAACATAATTAGGACCAGCCAGCATAATCTTGTTAACAGCTTTCTGCATGAAGGCAAAAGGAAACAGGCATTGTGAAACACTGTTTCAAGCAAAAAAGGATATCCAGAAATACCAAGTGTACAAAAAAGTTTGAAAATATATAAATGTTTCATCATCTTTATCTGCATGCAGTACTTCTGAAGTTATCATAAGCAAACACCAGATCTCCAGACTGATGCCATTTGTCCACCTCACTCATGTATGAGAGCTACTCAACTCCTCTTTCCCTGCCACTACCTTGGGATGTCATGACAGGTCAGTGAATAAAAAAATAAGACAATATGAATATTATAGCAATATTAGAGAGAAATGCTATGTTCTTTAATTGAATAGTAAAGCTATGCACTTCAATGGCATTGGAAATCCCACTACATTGCTTTCTCATTAGTACCCTCCTCCTTCTTACTGTCATTGGTAACACACTATTAGATTTGCTGCCAGATAAGCCCGCATCATAAAAGTTTATTTAAACTAAAACTCTCTATTATCTGACACAGAGAAATTATGGTCAATCACAGATAAGGACAGAGAACAAAGTAACAAAGAGTCCAGAAAAACACAGGTTGAAGTACCAAAGAATTGAGAGCAAACAGCTTTAGACAATTCTACAGAATAAAGACAATATATGTTATTTAGACAAATTAAGATCAAATTAGACAAAATAACTGCATTCAAATGCATGTGAGTTTGTTTTGTCTTATTTTTAAAAACAAGGGCTTAGTAAGACCCTCCAGTTTCTCCAAAATAGAAAACAAACCACAGGTCTTAAGATCCAGAGGGAGTACTTGCTTAAAGTGATGGACCAAATCATGGTTTCCATGAACAGCAACAACATTTACATCTGCACTTTGAGCAGCCTATCACCCCAGAAGAGTAAAGCAGTTCAAACAACTAGCTCAGGGAATAAACCTCTTCCATTTCAGGACTCTATGCAACTAAATCAAGTAGCAACTAAATAAATTCCTAAACAGACTTAATTCAAAATAGAAACAACTGAAATCGTCTATCTCAATATAAGCTTAAAAAGTGGAAAAAAGCCAGGAAGCGCAATACAGTACTTTACATACTTCTTTTTTCCCTTAATGCCCTAACAGACCAGAGAAACTGGTCAATGTTTTAGCTTCTAGACAAAGTTCTAATGGACAGAGATTCCTA